TTTTTTTTTTTCTGAAGAACCCCCAGGATGATCCGGGAATGGGGCCTTAGCTGCTGGCACAGAGAAGGGAAGTGGGGGTGGGGAGGGGCCAGACCCCCCACAAAACCTGATCCCTCAGAACCACGGGCTGCCCGCCAGGTATGTCTTGAAGCCAAAGGCGGCTGATGAGTTGGACCGCTTGGGTTCTGCTTCCCCCCAGCCCCCAGCCTGAGCACCACCTCCAGCGCCTTGCTGGGTCCCGGTGGCCCCTCCTCTCCTCTCCGTCTCTCTGTCCTCCCTCTCCTCTTGGAATCCAAAGCTTCTAGGGCTTACAAGTTGTCACTTTCGAGCACATCACTCGAGCCCCGTGGGCCTCCAGCCTCCATTTCCCCCTCTGTAAAATGGGAGAATAACCCCCGCATCTCACAGAGTGCAGTGAGGGCTGGGACTGCTAGTTCCCGTGACCGCCCCGGAACAGAGCCTCAGACCAGAAGCAGCTCAGAGGACCTGCGCTGGTGCAGAAACAGAATCCCCCGCGTTCTAGGCTCTCTGCCTCTTTTTGTTTCTGTCTTGTTCCTCATCAAAAACTCTTTGCTTTCTGCCTTTCTTTTTTTTTTCTTCCTCCATCAGTTTCTTGGTCTGTGTCTTTCTGTCTCTCTCCTTCCTTTCCTATATCAAGGCCGTCGGGTACAGCACAGTCGTGCGGTGTGTTGACTGCACTAGGGAATCCATCCTCAGGTGTGGCGCGGGAGGGGAACTCCGGCCGCACTCGGCTCACCGGGCCGAGCGTCTCAGCTTGCGCCCGGGGCTGCCTTGCCCTGTGTCTCCCTTGTCTGTCTGTCTCCTTCCCCGTCTCTCTCTCTCTGTGCCGTTTCCAGATCTGTCTTTGCCACGGAGACAGGGTCACTTAGTCCTCCCCGCTCGGCAGCTAGACCCCAGCGGGAAGACTCCCCCCTCCCTCTCCACGCAGGGACGCACCCTGACGCAGCTCCAGCAGCCTGGGCCGCTCTCTCCACGTCCGCGCACGTGCACGCGCCTGCACACGCGAGCGCCCGGCCCCTCCCGCACCCAGCCAGGCCTTTTGCAGCAGGAATGTCTGCCGGATGGAGGGACAGGAAGCCTGTGTGTGAGCCAGAGGCTGGGCGGGAAGGGGGCAGGGGTGAGGGGCCGGCCTGGCGTTCTCTGTGGCTCAGGAAACAGAAGCTAGAGGGTCCTCAGCCCGACCTGTTTACTCATCAGGAAATAGGGAAACTGCAGGGATTCTGAATCACCAAGCAGGCATCGCGTGCCTGCCGGAGGCCGGCGCCAGTGCGGTCCGGGCCCCTGCCACCACCCGTGGGTGCCGGCGGCCACGCTCTGTAGCCACAGGCGGACGTGGGGGTCTCGGGCATCAGAGGCAACAAGGGAATTGGGATCTGCTTCAAAGAACAAAGCACCGGCCCACCCGCTCACTGCCACCGCCAGACACCCTCAGAAAGCACAGCCCTGCTCCAGCCACTGCCCCTCTCCAGAGACTTCTGTGGCTCCCCACACCACACGAAAGGGCACCAGGAGCCAGGCCCGCCAGGGGCCCATCCTCACAGCCTCTCCCAGGATGCCCCCTCAGTGGCTGCAGGCTTCATACACTCCTCCCCCCTCGGGCCCTCCTGCAGGCCCTCAGCCCAGCCACCACAGACCCCCCTGGCCCAGAGGAGCCCTGGGCTGCTCTTGCCGGAGGCCAGCTCCACACGGACACGGACCAGCACTCCCCAGACCCCAGCCAAGGGCTCAGCACCGTGTCCCTCCTCCGGGGGCATGTGGGACTAAGCCAGGCCATCCCAGGAGTTCGCAGCCCCTGGAAACCTTCAGGTCTGACGGACCCATCAGGGATCAGCGTTGGGGCTGCGGGTCGGTGCTCTGGCTGCCCCACCAGGCTGGGGCACCCTCAGTCTTACTCCTCCGGGGCTGTTAGTGGTCAGGCTGCCCCGATGTACCCTCACAGCCCCCATGCCCCACTCCTTCTGTTCTTATGAAGGTCGGTCTTCCCCGCTGGAATGGAGCTCCGTGGGGTCAGGGCGCTTTTCCGCACCTGACGGAAGGGATGGCCCGATAAAGCCCGAGCCCCCTTCTGACTCCAGCAAGCCCTGACCTGACTCTGTGGGGCTCGGGGGCTGAGGGAGAGGTGTTCAGAGGCTGCAGCTTCAACCCGGCTCACCGGCCAGAAGAACTGGTCCCCCCTTCCAGGGCCCTCGAAACCCAGGATTGGCAGGATGCCGGAAACTGGGGTCCAGAAGGAGCCTCCACCCTTACAGAGGGGAAGGCGGCTCCGGACCTGCCCTCCTGACCGCCGGCCTCTGAGTTCCTAAGGGACGAGTGCACAGTCGTGCGGGGCACTGAGTCGCCTGGAGAGCAGAGGGTGTGCCCACACGGCTGGACCCTAACCTTGTACCAAGGGCCTCGGGATCCCGGGACAATGCCCCTCACTGTCCATCCGCACACCCCCTCTGAAACAGAGGGACTGGACGCCCCCCCATGCCTTATGTGGGGGTGGGGCAGAGGTGGGAGAGGGGACCCAGCAGGCCCCATGTCCCAGAGCTCCCTACACGCCATTTCTCTCTGGACACCTCCACCTGCACGCGTGGGGGCTGTAATCTGCACCAGCCCAGATTAAATGTGCGCTCTGGGCTAGACGACCTCTCTCCATTCTCTCGGCAGTCCCAAAACGCAGGTGCTATTATGCTTCCCATTTTACAGATAAAGAAACATCCCAGAGAAGTTAAGTAACTTGCCCCCGCT